CTCAACTGTGTTTGCTTGAGATGTTCTCACATTTAGCACAGATTGAGATTCAGCTGTGCAAACTGGCTGCCCATGCTCTTGGCAGTTCTGTTCCTGCCATTGTGCAAGGCCTTAGTCCACACTGGACTCATAGATGATCTTCTTGATGAGGCTGTTTATGTTTCTATCACCAGAAAATGGAGGAGAGTTTCCCTCAGTTTCCCAGTTTCTCACAAAAATCACAGATCCTTGAGATCCAGTGTAAATGCTTTTTTGGAGTATCACAAAAAGGGGTTTCACAAGGTGAAAATTTTAGCCAGGATTTGTTTTGTTAAAGTAGGAAGAGAGAAACATATCCTGCTTTCCAGGCAGGAAATGGGAGTTAAAGACTCAAAACGGCAGATGTTGCTTACAACTTTTATTGTTTCTGAGCTGTGGAGGCAAGTTGGGTGTGTCGGGTCTTCATCTGTCCCATGAAAGACGGACGGGGTCCGAGGAAAGGTAAGTGCAACCGCCTGCCTGTTCCCCAACCTCCCTCAGCCCAGGAGACAAGCGGGGAGTCAAGTCAAGCAGGAAAACTTGTTTACTAATACACAGCAAGCACTTTTTAAAGTAAAAAAGACCGGGTGGCATGGGAGGGGAGGAGAAGGAACCAATCACTGTCAAGGTCACACCCTATCATGCACCTAAGCTTGTAAAGCAAATTGGGCTCTGCCCACTCAACTCCCTCTCAGTGCCATCTTTGCTGCCCATGTGCTCCACATTGGGGGTGGGGGATACTAGATAGCCCACCTAGGGTCTCTGGGAATTTGTAACTATCACTTCAGTGATGGAATCTTAACTGTTTTGTTATTGCTTTAGGGTTTTTACTTCAGAGTCTGGCTTTTTTTTCCCCTTGGGGCCTGGATGCCGTCCCTGAAATGTTTTGCACAAGATTAGTGCTGAACCACTTGGGCCACAGGTCCACTCTTGGCTTTTTTTTCATCAGTTGTAATCCTAGCTACTCAAGAGGCTGAGATCTGAGGATCATGGTTCAAAGCCAACTTGGGCTAAGAAATCCCTGTAAGACTCTCATCTCCAATTAACCACTGAAAAACCAAAGGTAATGCTGGGGCTCAAAGTGGTGGAGCACTAACCTTGAATAAAAGGGCTCAGGGACAGCACCCAGGTGCTGAGTTCAAACCCCACAACTAACAAAATAAGTAAATAAACTTTTAAAAAGGGGCTGGGAAGGTGGCTCAGTGGTAGAGCATTTGCCTTGCATGCATGAGGCCCTGGGTTCGATTTCTCAGCACCACATAAGCAAAAAGAAAAAAAAGCCGGAAGTGGTGCTGTGGCTCAAGTGGTAGAGCACTAGCCTTGAGCTGAAGAGCTGAGGGACAGCGCCCAGGCCCAGAGTTCAACCCCCACAACGGACAAAAAAATAAAAATAACCCACAATATAAGACTTGCCAAAATGAACTCCAAGAAATTGGGAATGTAGTGGTGAGGTACAGTAAGACCACTCAGTCTGCAGTGAAAATGTAAAAGATTTTGTTGAGTGAAAAGGGCTGACGCGCCAGGACTGCACCTGGAGTTGGGATCCCAACTGCCAGCCCACATCACTTTTAAGCTTGTTGGGCTAGGGCGGAGAAAGGGGGAGACTGGGTGTTGGTTTTAGCCAATGATTGTTACAAGAAATTCATACCTTAAGTTTAAATTTCCCACCAAGGTTTTGCTGGCAGGAAGCAGGGGACTAAAACAAAGGGTGGTGATGGTTCAGCTGGGTTAGGGCTCCCATTGCTCAGAAAATAGCAGAAGCAGAGTTACAAAGTTACAATTACAGTTACTAGCTAAAATAGCTAGTTACCAGGGAAGTCTTATCCACAGCACACTTACATTTATATCTTAAAGTCATTCATTACCCATTTTATACAATCCAAGTCAAATATTATATTCCATCTTTACTTCCTCCACCATATCAGAAACAGGTTTGTTTCTTCGTTGCTGTTTTTGTTTTCTTTTTTAATTTGTTTATCTGATCTGGAGAGGTCAAGAGGGGCACAGAAATGGAGGGACAAGGGCAGGAACGTGGCTGGAAATGTGGTAGAATGCTTGCTTAGCATACATGAAGCCCTGGGTTCAATTCCTCAGTACTATATAAACAGAAGAAGCTGAAAGTGGTACTGTGGCTCAAGGGGGTAAAGTGCTGACAGCGAGGGAAGGGGTATCCAAAAGGAAATATACTCATTACCTGACTTATGTAACTTCAACCCTCTCTACATCACCTTTATAATAACAATTTTTAAAAAATATATTAAAATGGGGCCCAGGTGGCTCACACCTCTAATCCTAGCTACTCAGTAGACTGAGATCTGAGCTCGCGGTTCAAAGCCAGCTCGAGCAGGAAAGTCTGTGAGACTCTTAATCCAGCTTTTTTGCATTCCTTGATAACCCCCAATTCTAATCTTGAATCTCTGGCTTCCAGAATGCTGTCTGTCTGGTCCTGACCATAGCTGAAAAATATCCCTGCCCACAGTCGTCTTTGAGCTTCTGTAAACTGCCACCTGTGTGTGGTTCTGGCTTATATAAAATCTGCCCTACTGGAGGTTGGGGCTGCTCTTGGCCCTCCCGGGATGAGGCAGTCACGGCCAGCCAAATAAAACTCCTTGCCACCTTTGCCTGTGCCTCTGTGGATTTTCTCAACCCTGAGGTCATTACATTATCTCTAATTAACCATCAGAAACAAAAGGAATTGGCATTGTGGCTCAAAGTGATAGAACACTAGCTTTGAGGGAAAAAACTCAGGGACAGTGCCTAGAAACTTTCAAGCCCCACAACCACCAAAATAATAATGATAATAAGTAAACAAAAATAATAAATTTTAGCCGGGCACTAGTGGCTCATGCCTGTAATCCTGGTGTGACATCTGAGGATCTCAGTTCAAAGTCAGTCCAGGCAGAAAAGTCCATGAGACTCTTATCTCCAAGAACCACCAGAAAACTGGAAGTGGCACTGTGGCTCAAGTGGTAGGTTGCTAGCCCTCAGCTGAAGAGTAAGGGGCAACACCCAGGCCCAGAGTTCAAGCCCCATGACAGACAAAAAAAAGAGAGAGAGAGAGAGAGATACTTCCTAGGTGCCAGTAGCTCATGCCTATAATGCTAGTTATGCAGGAGGCTGAGATCTGAGGATCTTAGTTCAGAGCCAGCCCAGACAGGAAAAGTCCATGAGACTCTTGTCTTCAATTAACCACCAGAAAACCAGAAGTGGTGCTGTGGCTCAAGTGGTAGAGCACTAGCCTTGAGCTGAAAAACTGAGGGACAGTGTCCAGAGCTCAAGCCCTATGACTGACAGAAATAATCATAATAATAAAATTTTTTTTTTTTTTTTGGGTCCAGTTGTGGGGCCTGAACTCTGGGCCTGGGCGCTGTCCCTCAGCTCTTCAGCTCAAGGCTAGAGCTCTACCACTTGAGCCACAGCGCCACTTCCGGCTTTTTTCTTTTTTGCTTATATGGTGCTGAGGAATCAAACCCAGGGCCTCAGGCATGCAAGGCAAGCGCTCTACCACTGAGCCACTTTCCCAGCCCTCATAATAATAAAATTTTAAAAACAATTTAAACTGAGCTCTCGTGGCTCATGCGTGTATTCCTAGCTAATCAGGAGGCTGAGATCTGAGGATCCAGATTCAAAACAGATTCAAAGCCAGTCCTGAAAGGAAATCCTTGAGACTCATCTCCAAGTAGTCACATATACAGAATAAGCCTGAAGTGGAGCTGTGGCTCAAGTGGTAAAGCACTAGCCTCAAGCAGAAAAAACTCAGGGACAGGGCCCAGCCCTGAATTTAAGCCCAGGACCTACCAAAAGAAAAAAGAAACACACACACACACACACAATTTCTGTCTTCTTATCCCAGCTTTACTTAGATGTCTTATATTAGATAACTCACTCTGAGTATTGTTTTCCTTTTTTCATGATTCTTGGCACAGGGATATATCTTTTCAACAGTGTCTTCAATGTGATGAATACCCTAGTTAGAGCATCTATCAAATGCCTATATACATGGGCATCTTTTTAGTGACCACATTCATATTGTGTTCCAGAGATGTTCAATATTTTGCTCACTATCCACTTATAAATGTGGGTTGTTTCTGTTCTTTTCTGAGATAAGGGGAATGGCAGCTTCTTTTACATTCAGCTTCTGGCGGGCAAATTCCAATCTGAGTGACAAAGAATGACTTTACAATACTGTTATTAGTCTGTTTTCTATTTCTATAACAAAATGCCTGAGGCTGGGAAGTTTGTGAAGAAAAGAGGCCAGTAGTTCACAGTTCATCTTCACTTTGGCAGAGCCTGAAGCAAATGACTACAGTAGCAAGATTCAGTGAAAAAAGTAGGAAAGGAAGGTGGGTGTGTGATGACTCACACCTACAATCCTAACTTCCCAAAGCTGATATCTGAGAAAGCTGGTTGAAAACCAGCCCAGGCTAGAAATCTAGGAGAACCTTATCTCCAATTAACCATTAAAAAGCCAAAAGTGGAGCTGAGGCTCCAATGGCACAGCATTAGCTGGAGAAAAAAACAAAAAAACACCACAAAGACAGAGCCCAGGCCATAAATTCATGCCCCGGGACTGTCACAAAAGAACAAACAGAAAAAAAAAAAGGAAAGACCAGAAGCCAGAAACTTTTAGAGATCAGGCTCACTCTTTAGTAATAACTCATTCTCAAAGAACTAACACTAAACCTTTCTGAAGGACAGCATTACCCTAAAGACCTAACTACCTCCTACAAAGTCCCACTCCTTACACATCTCCTCACCTGAACACCAACACACTGGCAGCAAGCCTCCAATACACATACATTTCTTTGAGATACTAGTTGCATCCAAACTACAGCAAGCGAGCTTGTGAGCCCAGGCTCTTCCAGGATTATCTTTCAATTGAAGCTAATGGCCTGAAGCAGCAACAAGTCAGATCTGGAGGACTGAGGAAAAGACTGAAGTCCAGGCCGGCGCGGGGCAGGCGGGTCTCCGAAGGTGGCAACTTTCCGGGGGCCCCTGGTGCTCGGGCGCAGCGGGGAGGCCGGGCCGGGCCTGGCCGGGGCTCGATCGCCCGGCGTCGGGAAATGGCGACAGGAAGTCGGATGGAGGACGGTTCCGTGGACATCATCCAGAGTGTGGAGGACGAGCCCCTCCTGGGTGCCCAGCTTCCCCCGCAGCACTCCCTGCAGGCTCACTTCAGACCCAGGTTCCATCCGGTCCCCACGGTCCTCATAGCAAGTCTTCTCTTGGTTTTACATGTTGTGTTCGTGACTTTAGCATTTTTAACAGGTGTGCTTTGTACCCTCAACCATCCAAATGATGATGACAAGTGCCCAGGAAATTACACAAACCCACTGAAAGTTCAGACGGTCATAATCCTGGGGAAAGTGATCCTGTGGATTTTGCACATGTTCCTCGAGCGCTACATCCAGTGTCACCACAGCAAAGCGAGAAAGCAAGGCTATAACCAGCTATACCGATCCACTCGGCATCTCAAAAGCCTCGCCTTCACGATCCACTCCACGGGGAACACCGCCCTCCTCCTCATCCTGGGCCTGCAGCACTCCTTCCCCGAGTTCAGCTGGCTGTTCCTTCTCCTCATCCTCACCACCCTGGGCCTGGAGCTCATCTGCTCGTTCACCTGGCTGCTCCTGTATGCAGTGAAAATCGGAAGATTTAATAGAGCTAAACCACAGCCTGATGTTCTTGAAGAAGAAAAAATCTATGCTTACCCTAGCAGTATTCCTTCAGAGACGGGATTCAGGACTGTTTCAAGCTTAGAAGAAATTGTTGAAAAGCAAGGAGACATCATCCTGTGCCTGAAGCGGCACAATGCACTGTTGAGTAAACGGCTGTTGGCACTCACTTGTCCGGACCTAGGCATGCAGGCGTGACCGCTGTCCTAATGAGAGTCCCTTCAGACCATCCCCTAGCCAGCCCCCGATGGGAGTCGGAAGTCACAGCCTCTGCTGAGCAACAGTTTCCTGACCGGGTTGGAAGCCTGGATTTGGTTCTTACCTGTGTGGCTGTTTGGTAGATGGGACTGGGGGGAGGGTGGGGGGGGGGTCATTTGGAAGGTCTTCGGTACTAGCCTTGAGAACTTGAGGAAAATGTCTGTTTTCTGCATTTTGAAATAATTTAACTTCTTGGCTTTTCCTGGGATCAGAGGTACATTTGAAGAACTCTGATAATTTGGCTCTTCATAAAGGAAGTCTAATGTGATAATCTATTTAAACAGAGCTTTAAACTAACATATTCCAGGCCATCTCTGGTAGCTCACACTGTAATCCTGTCTACTCAGGAGGTTGAGATCTGAAATGAAGGCAGCCTGGGCAGGAAAAGTTCCTGAGTGCTTATTGCCAATTAATCACCTAAAAGATGGAACTGGACGTTCCATCCAGTGCAAGTGGTTGAATACTAGCCTTTAGTTAGAGCACCCTGGCCCTGAGTTCAGACCCTAACACTGGCATACACACAAATTTGTTCACTTTATTTTTACCCTTCAAGAAGTTACTATGTATTTCAGTATTAATTATACCCTTACTGAATCAATAAGTTCAGTTGTAGGGATAGAAGGGTGAGAAGTGCTCATTTTAGTGTTGGGTTGCACTTTAAAATGCTAACAAAATAAAATGTCCTGTCAACTCAACGTGTAGATGGTAAACATCTGATTTCTATGTATTTGGGGCTGGAGCCAAGGTTTGCAGATGGTTAGGCAAGTGCTTTACCATTAAGTGTCATCCTCAGCTCACATGTTTTAATACTTCCGGTGTTGAGGCCTAGCTGGTCTCAAACTTGCTTTGTAAGCTGAGCTGGCTTCTAACACTCAGTCCTTCTGCCTCCATTTCTCAAGTGCTGGGATTGCAAATAGATGTGCACAGCCATGCCCAGTCATATCAAATTCTTAAGGTTAGAAATAAGTGTTTGGGGGGTTGGGAAGCTGGCTCAGTGGTAGAGTGCTTGCCTTGTATGCATGAAGCCCTGGGTTCCATTTCTCAGCACTACATAAGCAGAAAAAGCCGGAATTGGTGGTGTGGCTTAAGTGGCAGAGTGCTAGCCTTGAGCTGAAGAGCTGAGGGACAGTGCCCAGGCCAGAGTTAAGGCTCCACGACCAACAAAAAAAAAAAAAAAAAGAAAAAGAACAGAAGTGTTTGGGACTCCCTTTCCCCTGGCTGGCTTTGAACCAACATCATAGCCCCCTGAGTAGCTAGGATTAAAGGTGTAAACCACCAGCTCCTAGCTTCACTATTGCCATGTTTCTAAACTCAACAATGAACATTCCCAACAATAAATGAAACTAGGTATCAGAAACGACAGGAAAATGAACAATTGAAGTATGAGGTATTCTATTTACTATGGGTGCAAAATTACATGCAGCTTGTATTCTAAAGAGGAAGCAGATTTCTGGGCTGTCCCTGAGTGGGTAATTGCAGTTAGGCTAAACTGCAGTCAGTGCCCTGGGGGAGGGGGGAGTAGGTTTTTTTAGGGAGTCTGGCTTAATGACTAAAGCAAAGTAACTACAAATGCCTTAGGCACTGTGTGTCTGTGAAACAGAGGTGTGAGGTGGGGTTTGTGGGGGTGGCAGGGCATGCTGGAGAGGTTGGCAGAGACAATCCTGGAGCCCTGGACACTGCCCAGGGACCTGCTTGGACTTTGTTGGTTATGGGGTCTGCTGAAAGGTTTTGAGCAGAACTGAGGACACAAGTTTTAAATATGGAGGAAAGCTGGGTGTGGTAGTGTAGGTCTGTAGTTCTAGCTTATGGGTGACTGAGAGGAGTATTACAAGTTCAAGGCCAGCCTAGGGCCTATAAGACCCTAAGTCAAAAATACAGGAAGTGGCACTATGGCTGAAAGTGGTAGAGTAAGAGCCTTGAACAAAAGAGCTTGGGGACAGTGCCCAGGTCCCAAGTTCAAGCCCTGTGACCAACCAAAAAATTATACATATATGTATGTATGTATGTATGTATATATGAAGAAAAGATGGTGGCAGGAAGACATGGCAAGTACATAACATATGTGTATATGTAAAGACGTGTGTATGATGCGTAACATCACGACTGAAAAATATCAAGAAAACTGACAGGGCCGGAAATGTGGCTCAGTAGAACTCTAGCCAATGAGTACAAGCTCAGGTACAGAGTTCAAGTCCCTGTCTGGGACCAAAAGCACTGATTTGGAACCTCACTGCCAAGGAACTATACAAAGCTATGGTACTGCAGTTCCATACCCTTAACTCTGAACACTGATGGTCTCTGTAATCCTAGTCTGACAGCTGTGTCATTTGTGACTGCATTTCTTTAAGAACTAATAAAGTTGATCTTTTTATTGATAAAAAAAAAAAAAAGACTGAAGTCCACTGAGCAGCCAAATGAGGTCTGGAGGTGGGCTGAGGCTGGTCAGCCAAGTGCAGAAACAGAATATTGCCTATCCCTGAAAGAACCAAAGGAAAGCACTGGAGGTGATCACACTTGTTAGCATTATCCCCACCTTTGGTCCTGAGCTCCACCCAGACCTGAGCTCCTCCCTACCCTAGAGTTCACCCTTACAGCTGGCCACTCCCTCTCTCCACCCAGACTAACGTTGCCTGTACTAACCTCACTTCCACTCTCATTTCCTGCCCCCAGACCTACTTGTGACTTGGATTGGGGCAGGCACCATGTGTTTCCTCTCCCAGGGAGATATGGTCCCTCTAATAAACCTTATAATAATCTTTCTCCTGTGCCTGCCTGCCTCCATGTGGTTCCCTGGGATGGTGGTGAAGGATTCTCACATCTTGGCACCAAAACCCAGGATAGGTTCCCTGGTAGATTTGCTGCCACCTCTACTATGAATGGGGGGGGTCTGACCAGCTGCCCGGGACCTAGTCCATAGCCCTACAATGCCATTGCCAGAGGACCACCAAGGTAACTGAAAGGATCCTTCCTGACGATCCCATGGGAGCATGCAGAGGCAGACCGGCACAGGAGAAACATTATTGTAAGGTGTATTAGAGGGGCCCTATCTCCCAGGAGAGGGGAGCACATGGCGTTTGCCCCCATCCAAATAGAGGGTAGGTCTCTGGAAAGTGAGGGCAGAAGTAAAGTAAAATGCATGTGTGGGTGGGTCTGGGCAGAGAGAGGGAGGAGCTCAGGTCTGAGTGGAGCTGAAGAGCGAAGGTGGGCATAATACTAACATTCCCTGCTTGTTGTTTAGTAAAAAAAGAAAACAGGGGTACCAGGCCAGGGGTAGGGGCAGAGGTTGTTTCTTCTGAAGCTATTTTCTGCTGTAAAGGGGTGAAGCATTCAGAGGTCTCTGATTTGGTGCTTGAGGGGAGGCTGTTACCCTGTTTAAAGAAACTTTTGGAAAGGTCAGGCAAAAAGCTGACAGGATAGCATGGGTGACATAGGAGAACACGCATTGGCCAATGGCCAGAAAAGTTCCATTTGGAGCATTAGCCAATTGTGTCCCATTACAGGGAAGGAGGAATAATTGGACTGGGGTCAGGAAGGGGGTGTCTAAGAGGTTTTGGCAACTAACTAGGGGACAGCATAGTGGACTGGTTGGGAGTGACCAGAGGCTAATATAAATAGCATATACAGAGGCTAGTATAAATAACATATACAGAAAACAAATCACATTTTTTTTTTTTTTTTGGTCCAGTTGTGGGGCCTGAACTCTGGGCCTGGGCGCTGTCCCTCAGCTCTTCAGCTCAAGGCTAGCACTCTACCACTTAAGCCACAGCGCCACTTCCGGCTTTTTTCTTTTTTTGCTTATGTGGTACTGAGGAATCGAACCCAGGGCCTCAGGCATGCAAGGCAAGCGCTCTACCACTGAGCCATCTTCCCAGCCCCACAAATAACATTTTTAGTCTGACTTGTGGGGATGAACAGTAACTTCTCCTGACCGAGTGTTCTACCTCCTGCCCACCACTGGCTAATTCATTCCTACTCCCAGGTGAGTGTCCAGTCTGGAGGCTTAGATTCCACTGTTCAGGCCTCCGTGGGGGCTTCAGGGCCCCCCAAAGCTTGGCCAAGTGTTTAAGCCTCACCCCGAGGGCCTTCCATGGCCAAGGGACCCCATGGTGAGCTCCCTTTTTTAACGGACCAAACTGCACTGCCAAGGTTGCTCCACAGCAAGCTCTGGTTCCAAAGGTCACTTACCATGGGAAGGACACAACTAAAATTCTTTACAAATTTGGCACCAAATTTAAAACTCCACTTCTGTGAGTGCTTGGGCTTGTAAAATTCTCTATCTCTCTCCTCTCTCTCTCCCTGCCTCCTAGCCACAAGGCTTCCAGCTTATAACCTAGACTCTCCCAGATTCTGCAGATGAGCCACCACCATTTTGAACACGTGGGGCAGAAGCCCCTCCCCCTGCTTTGGAGGGACTTCCTCCCCCTGCCATTGCTCCAGCAGCCCTCAGCCCACGGGTCGCCCCCTCCTGCACTCTCCACTCTTGCATCATCCGAGGCCAAAGCCCTCTTCCATGGACACTCTCTCTTTCCCCTCAGGCCTCCCTAATTCCCCCACAGGACAAAAGCGCTCCTGGCCTGGCCTCTGTGAACCAGTCGTCTCAACTGAGCGATGCCCTGGAGGTTGCTACGTGCTTTGCAGAAACATTGGGTTCTGTCCTTACCCAGACCCAGACTCAAGGGTCTGCTGCAGCTCAGAGTTCCACCTCAGTCCGTGTTTTCCCTTTACTCGAGGTGGCAGGAACCCACGGAATAGTTATGGTACATGTGCTGTTTTCATTAAATGACTTTTTTCCCAGATTGAGAGGTGCCTGGGGTCTTTCTCTGCCAATCCCACCACCTACATCAAGCAGCTGTGGGGTGTGTTCCAATCCTGTGTGGTAACCTGGCACGATATATATGTAATCTTGAGTGGTACCCTCCTACCAGGGGAACAGTGGGAGGTTTGGGAAAAGGCCCACCACTA